ATGCACTTTAATCAAATGTCACATTGCACTGTTCACTTTAAACCTTAATCCTACTTCTTATAAAGATCTGGGATGTTTCCACATCCAAAGGAAATTTTTATCCCATTGTGACCAAGTGAAAGTTGAGACCTTCACCAAACAGCACACAGGGAGACATGGATGATTTATGATTTGGTCTACCAGAACCACTGGGATTTGTGGAACAGACTACGCTGTGCAATGCATCCATCCTTTCTGGGCCACATGAGAATGTGTTTTGTTGCCGAAGCATCTTTGATTTTGGTTTGTGCAGGGGCAGTACACCGGGACGCATGCTCCAGCAGAGCAGAAACTGCAGGGCCAGGGCCAAGCACTGGAAGAAAAGCTTCCAGACAGGAAGCTCCTTGTGTCCACACAGTCCTGGCACCCCATCCTAATGCCTTGTACAATGTTCAGCAGTGACTAGACACAGTGCATTGAAATATGACTATTATTCTCATTAGTGAGCACACTGAAGTCATAGCTATGCTTCAGAATGAATCAAGATAAGTGCAGTTTAGAAGACAATTTCAGAAAATAGGCAAGCTCAGGCTTTATACAACTATGTTTTTATATCTGAGCCCATTCAAAAAAAGAATTTACAGTAAAGCAAGGACAAGGGGGTATTTTCAAAGGACATTTAACGATGTGAAGTATAATGATGTGAAAAGTTTGCAGGCAGTTTCATTACCCTGTCTAAATAAATGCCGCCAGACCTTTTTCAACTGTAAAAGCCCACCACCACTGAAAAATATTTGGGCCTAATGCAATAACCAGCAGGCTAGATACCACGACTCTGGGCTGTGTAGCATCAGATGAAACATAGCTGACATCACTCCTTGTGAAAGGACAGCGAGTGACCTCGCAGAACGGAACAAGTTCCTGAGCTGAAGTGGCATGAACTCACACATACACAGATGGCTGAGTACAACCAGGCAGCCAGCCCTGCTCAAAGCAGAAACCGTGTCACAACTTAGCTTTGATCTCCTCCTCTCTTGATTGTTAATACTGAAAACGAAACAGGACAGAAATAAGTCACAGGTCTTTTCAAAGCTGGGAGCAGTATCAATATCTCACTCAGCTCCAGTCCATAGAGAAGAGTATGTTATTAACTTCACTGCCACGGCGACTTTGAACAACCTGAAAGGCTTAGAAATCACAACAAGATGTCCAGGGATCTTGAACCAGGAGTGGCATCTTTATACTGTGTCTACATATGGCCAGGATCTCCCAAATAAAAGATTTTCTTAAATCTACATGGCAAAACCCATGCTAACTGAGTTTCTAAAGGCCGGCAAGTTCTGCAGGACTAAGTAATCTGTCTAAATCCATAAGAGCATATAAGCATCAGATGGGAAAGAAGCATTCTGCTAGCTCAGCAAGAGCTCATTTCAGCTGGAAGGCAAACCTTGTATAACTTGTTTTGTATCCGATTTTGGAGATGGAAGGGTAGTGTACTGGCTACTCTGAACTTCAACTTGAAAACTCACACACAGTACGGTCCTGGTTTCAAGAATTAGAGTATTCCATGCAGAAGTAGAAGGTGCTACAGTGTTGTCAACTGTACATTTACAGTAACACGAAGAGATGGCACAATAATTTTATGGAAACTATGCTTCTACTCTTTACCATGAGCATTATGAATGGAACAAGGAGAAGGTACTATAGGAACAACCTTTTATAATGAGCCTATAAGCCATCTTAGTGAGTTTCTAGGTCAGTCTAAAGAAGTCAAAATTTAGATTTGCACAAATTAACCTGATTGCACTTGAATGTAAATAGTATAACGTAAGGACTTACAAAGCAATACTACTTTCTTACTTGCAGAAAGTTTTTCATTCCTTTAACATCTGCTTAACATTAGAATCAAGCCAAACTACCTGGACATTGCACATTGCTGGAACAAACTGCAACCTTCCCTGTAAGCTGAGCCAACAAATCTGAAATGCATTTCTGATATAGATCTATGAACTCTACAAATAAAGACAGTAAGGACAGAATAGGTAACAAAAATACTACCAATATTTTTAATACATATTACATACATATTAAAAAATTATATAAAAGAAGATGTTACAACAATCCTAATGTGGGTAATGTATTTCAAACTACAGATGAAAAAAAGAGTACGCGGTGACTTGTTATAGCTCACACTGTAAACGAACACAAAGCCCAGACCCCCCAGTTCTCATATTCCACTCTAGTCATTAGCAGTGATGCTTTATTCACTTGAGGATTACTAGAAAAAAAAGAACATAGGCTAGTTGGCACTCGACATTTTCACTTACCTCCTGGCTTGTTTTCTGGCCTGCCTTCATGTAGAAAATGAAAACAGTATCAAAAGGACGACATGGTAGTAAATCCAAGTAGCCAAGGTCATCAAAAAACCCAGGAAGAGCAGAGTCAAGTGCAATCAGGTGAGGAGGTAGACGACTGTTAGCAGGTTCCTATCCAACAGATAGAGTTCAACAGCTTAAAGAAAACATCTTTCCTAACTGAAAAGGTCTTTATGGCTTCAATAATAATCCATTAAAATATAAAAAGACAATTTCCCTTTTCTCACAAGAGCAAAATCATAAACAAATTTCTGATGCAACAGAATCCTGTTACTGTAAATAAGCAATAGCAAGCATAACAGTTTGACAATTTGTTGCTTCCTACTATCCTCATTTAATAAAAACGGTATTTTTGCCAGCAAAATGGACGTAACATTTTACTCAAAAAGAGGACTAACTACCACAACAAAAGCAGCAAATACCTTCAAAATATCACAACTATAGAGAGTCACATGTGTAGTTTCATATTTATTAACTTACATATCACTAATATGTAAAATACTAAGCACTTTTAGACACTTTTGCAAAAGCTCCATTGTCTGCTTTTGTTGATGGTTTTCTGGAAGGAAATGCAACAAATAAAAGGGAGAATCCACAGGTAAGAGGCAGAATTTCAAATTAAGAATACGGATCATGTCTAGAAACTGTTGTTATTTTAACTTTAAAAAGAATGCTCTACAACCTATATGTATTCCCAAGTGTTTATATACAATTTGACCACTTCAGCACAACTATCTCTGGAGCACAACTTTTAAGGCAGTCATATTTCAGAAACTCTTGAAGAACCACCCCAAAACCTAATTCAAGCTTAGGGAATGATTTCAAGTACGGACATGTGAATGTGATAGCTTATGTACCCACTGCAAAAATAAAGATACAGCCGCCTATTCAAAGCATGTTCAGTTTGAGACATGGCCTTTCACAACCCTGCTCTCAATCTTGGAAGAGTGGAATCCATCACTCTCTTTGATTAGACTACAGCTTAACAGTAGCTGGAATTACACAGAAGATCTTCCACTAACAAAACTTAGTTTTCTTCTTTTGCCAAGCCAGACCATATGGGTACGGAGGGCATTTGCACAACACTAAGAAGTATCAGGTCACCTTCAATGCCTCCAGTGAGAGAAACCCAAAGTGAGAGAGGAACAGGCGTGCTGTCTGGAACTCCTGTGCTGGTGGCGGGGGCTTACACTCCGTGATCGGATCAGGAAAGCTCTTCTTCCGCCACGCCTCTTCACTTTTCTGATCTATGGAAGTCTCAAAAATAATCTGCTGGGCCATGCCATTCCTCAGCTTCTCATGTCGCTCTTCGAGCTGAAAAACATTGCATGAAATGCTGATTCCACCAAGATCACTAAGATCCACTAAGAAAACAGCTCCATCATTTAGCTCTAGGTCACAGGTACGGCAGCATCTGCAACTCCACCACCCAGATGTTTACTAAAGCACTATGAGCAAGACCTTGCAATGGTACAAAGGTCTCAACACCCTGTTTGCATGGGAGCTGTTGCAAATTTATGTATCCATTATCGGCTACAGCTTCTCCCTTTTAAGTGAACAGAAACTAAAGCATATTTGGCACTGTGAAATTTTAAAATATTTTTGAGACATGCACTCCCCTCCTTCTCCAAGAGGTCTCAAAAAAGCCCTTTTTTTCCCCAGAAGCAGCAACAAAATGCAAGTCATTGCTTCCTAGCAATACTAGGACATTAGGGCCTGTAATAAAACACGTTGAGCAGTGCCTCCCAAAAAACACATCCAAGGCATTGTCATCTTCCTGCAGAAGTGCACAGATTTCATTAGTTTGCATAGGTTATTATGCCATTAATATGAAATTAGTCAAGCTAAAGAGTAAAACTATTCATACACTAGTGTACAATGCATTAACAGACAAAAAACCCAAGAACAAAATTAAGTCAGAGACTGAGAGTTACTCACTTCCTCATTCACAATTTCATGTAAATCAGGAATGCTCAAGTCAGCTTTCACAAATGGGATCTTGTCCACTTCTTCAGGAAAAGGGCGATGCTTCACACTGTATTTCAATCCAACATCATTTTTAGGAGCTGGTCGAGGTTCTGGTACAAAAGTCTGACAAAAATGAGGGATAGTTTTTACATTCAAGGCATCGTACCTCTAGATAATACTTTATTATAGTAGATGGAAAACGTTCCCTCCTCCCTCACCACCAGAAGTACATTAATCCATTAGTGAGAGGTGTTATTAAAAAACATTCAGTAAGTACTTTAAACTAATAGACCTGTATTAAAAACGTGTCTCTACATTTTAAGAGAGACACAGTTCTGCCCATTTTGGTGGCTACACTCCTGGAACTCAGGAACCCTGCTTACCATCTAACCTCGAAGCAGCTGCAAATCCCAATAAAAATGGCAAGCCTATATGGGAACATCTTATTTTCAGCCCATTCTAACTGTATTGAGCAAGAGCTACCAACTGTTTGAGAAGCCTCCATTTTAACCCTGCTGCCTATGATGATCACAACTCAAGCTGAGAAGTCCTAGAAGAGAACAGCAGCAATTCTGCAGGTCAGGAGTGAGATGCACTGCCAAAATATCAAAAGGGCTTGTGTAACGTATGGTAATGCAACTTTGACACTGTTACTACATTATGTTCTGAACTGTTAGTATGCAATTCAAAACTTGAAGTTACCAATGAAAGCAACAAAAGATCTAGGTGCAGGTTTGCAGGTGCATAACGTCCAAACAAGCAAGACCTTTAATTACATCTTGAGTGCTGCTTTATAAATTTATTTACTACCAATTCAAAAAGGCAAAACTGTTAACATTAAAGTTATAGAATGGCGTTGGAAAAGTTCTCTTAAAACTGGTAAGGAAGTCAGCAGCCAGGACATGACTTCTCCTTTCGTGTGGGAAGTACCACACTTGGACTGACACTATTTAGCGAGATGGCTCAGCTTCAGTGACAGCACAGCTCCAAAGGCATCACACGGAGGGAGGGTCTTTCCGAAGGCTGCTTTGCAGAGATGAGATTCATCTAAATGTGAACATGACAGCTGAGACTGACAGGCCCTCATTTCAGCTATATTATTATTTCTTATTTTACTGAGGGGCATATGAAAAGTTTGAAGATTTGGAGAAGTTCGCAGACAGAAATTTTGATAACAGAAGGACATGCTCCACTGGACAACTGCAATAAGAGATTTCACTGTAAAATGAGATTGGGGTATTTCTCCTCCGCTATTCCTGTCCAGAGCTGTTCTAGAGTTCATCTAGATAATTTTTTTTTCACAGTAGGTTTACAGCCATCTTTGCAACATTGGACTTTGTAACTTGAACAGCTGTTCTGTCTGTAGCATCTCATTCTACACCTCCAGACTTTGCTCCCTCTGCTGCAAGGGCTTTGCCTGACATCCTAAAATCAGCACCAACACTCATGCCTACACACTAAATACACTGTCCATTGCCCCATCACCAGTGCCCCCTCCCCTTAAACAAGTCTAGAAGGCAAGAGCACTTTCACAGCCTGTATTTAATATTAATCACAAGTCGTAAAGAGTCACCAGAGATGTGTCACATTACCTACAGCTAAAGGCCCCGTGGCTCAGCCTTAATGTATAATCACCAGCTCTGTGGGGCTGTCTCACATTAGTGGAATTTCTGCTGAACATCTCTAAGTTAAAGATTTCTTTATGGGCTTTGATAGAGACCTTTTGATTTGCTTTAGCTCCTCTTGGCAAAAGACAGAGTTGCTGGGCCCATGCAAATCTTCCAGATGTCCCACGGATCAAAACCGTGACATGCAAAGCACATGGGTTAAGAGAATAACACATCATCATAAATTGCAAACAGTTCACTGTGCAATAACCAGAAACGCACGCAGGCATGATGACAGGTTTTGTTTTCAAGCTTAACTCCTCCCTGACCCTTAAGACAATTCCTGGTGAGGAGCAAGCAGTCCTCCTCTCTGCCACAGGGAAGTACTAGTCTACTTTGTGTGCTGTTCAGTAGTTGCCAGCTCAGTTTCACCATTAAGGTAACTTTCATCCAAATTAATGCAGATCACTGTTTCTCTCCAAATGATCTCCAGGAAATGCAAAAAAATTGTCCAGCCTGTTTAGGTAAGACAAGTGACCATATGGAGACACAGTTTCCAAGATACTTCCATGACTGTCTGTAAAGGTCTCACATAAATCACAGAATCAGTTTGGTTGGAAGAG